GTTCCTAACACTTAGAATATTTCGTTTATCCGTACAACCTCGACAATTAGTCCGTAGCAATTTGGTGTTTCCATTTCCAACATTCTGATGTCCGTACAGTTGGTGGGCTAACTTATGAAATGTCAACCGAAATTCCGAAATGCGTTTTCGTTTCGAAAAGATTAATTAAGTAGGGTTGTAAAAGTTATCTTCATGTAGCATGTTTCTATTATAGTTCAGTTAATCCGGGGCTCCGGCTTTCGAACAAACGTCTTTCCGGCTTCATTCAAAAACGATACTCCGTGAAAACGACTACTTAAGTAGCATGCATTATTTTTATTGATTTTCGATGACCTTCACGATTCAATTATGTTTCGTAGAAAACATGCATAAAATATTCATTCTTTTGCTCATTCAGTAGAAAATTACATCATCTTTCAATTTTATACTCAAAGAAAGGGTATAATTCGGTTTCCAAAAATTTTTCCAATTCCCGAATAATTTTGAACCCCACCTGCCGTTACAATTTCATTCGGGGTTTCAAAACTACCAGTCGTATAATTTCTGCGTACGGAAAACCACACATTGCTCTACGGTAGTAAAGGGGGACCATGTGCGGTTCATAGAATTAAGCAGTGGATTTGAACCACATTGTTACCCTTAAAAGCCACATTGGTAAATGCAGAGACATGACGTTTTATGAAGGACCATTCCACAGTATTAAAAAATCTCACAATTAAAAACTTTTTAAAACCAAATTATCCCCTTTCTTTGAGTATAAAATTGAAAGAAGACGTAATTTTCTACTGAATGAGCAAAAGAATGAATATTTTATGCATGCTTTCTATGAAGCATAATTGAATCTTTAAGGGCATCGAAAATCAATGAAAAAAGGCATGCTGCTTAAGTTGTCGTTTTTTACGGAGTATGGTTTTTGGATGAAACCGAAAAGACGTTTGTTCGAAAGCCGGAGCCCCGGAGTAACTGAACTATAATAGAAACATGCTACCTGAAGATTACTTTTACAACCCTACTTAATTAATCTTTTCGAAACGAAAACGCATTTCGGAATTTCGGTTGACATTTCATAAGTTAGCCCACCTACTGTACTTCAGTAGCTTGTAACAAAAAGGGAATTCAAAAGGTGAGCAATCGCATTTCGCTCAAATAAACCGAACTGAGTCCCGCCCTTGTCTCTGTGAAAACCAGATCCACTATTCTCTGCTCGGGTGCGTGTGACGCGCGTATTCGGGTTGTTTAACTTAATCATCTATTGTGCGCGATCCCACCTCCGGTCTTTCTGACTCTGTCATGACACTGAGCTCGGATGGGTGAGGGGGCAGGTAGTGCAGAAGATGTTACACAATTCTACTATCAGCCAACAGCTCCCTTCTGAAGGATCAACCTCAAGTTAGTTTCAGTTTCAGTTTATCTGAACTCCCTATTTGTTAAAAGGAAGCGAATTATATCAAAAATTTGAAAATGGAAACATCAAACAGCCGCAGAAGTTTTTTCAGATTACAAAGTTTTCGGAACCAGACAGATAAACGCATTGTTCCAAGCGTTAAAAATAGTAACGTTACTAAATGTGATGTACAGTAGTCTGTCTATGGATAGTTGGTGCTATCTCAATTTCTGAGGGAGACAAATTGAAAGCCAACAATCACATTCAAAGGAACTGAGACAATAATAAAAAACAAACGTTACTGAAATACAGACAGTAATATAATAACATTAATAAACAGTTTGACCGGAATGTTAAGATGGTATCGGTCAGGTGACATTATGACGCTTAGTGGTACACTGGTTCAAATTGCGCCTAAAAGCCTCGACGGAGGTGGACATCTGCAGGCGGAGCATTCCAAGCCTCGATCACTCTGTGTGAAAAGAAGAACTTCCGATTTCTCAGCGGAGTAAAAAGCGGAAATGTTGATATTGGGATCTCTGCCAGAAAACACACCGGGACGTTGAGGGATTCATTGATGCGTCGAGCCTATCGCAGTTGTATCATGCACGGTCAGAATATCGGCGAAATATTTGCCTGGATTTTTAGCTTGCACATGTGCTGTCAGTCTAGTAAATCATACAAAACGACAGTTCGACCTTCGTCCCCTACGATGTCCACCGTGTGCTCCACAACCGAGTGAGGACAGGGACAACAAGTTGCACGTGAGTTAGCTTGAAATGGCAGTAGACTTGCGCAGCATCTACCGCACCCTAATTTTCTCCTGCACCTGGGTCCGGTGTCATGACAGATTCAGGAAGACAGGAGGCGGAAGGGGACGCAGGTGGGGAAAACTCGCACCCAGGCGTACCCAGGCAGGAAACCCAGTTAACACAGCGTGAGCCTGCAACCGAGTCTGCATTTTTTATGAGTGCGCATTTCCAATAACGCCTGCCGGACTCCGGTCTTGACCCTGTGTTAGTCCAGCTCATCTACCGCGTGGCCGTTTTAGCGACACATGTGTGAAAATGTAAATTTAAATCGTACTCAATAGTTGCGAGTAATATATTAACATGTAAACACAAAGTGGACTTATAACAAGTGAGTGTTAAGGAACGGTTGGATGCTACATGCGTGTTCAGTTTGTCCTTGAATGGATTCACACATGAGGAGTGAATAAGCGCTGTGGATAAGGCGTCCCAATTTTATCTCGAAAGAAGGGTATAATTTGATATAAAAAAAATTTCTAATTGTGCGATTTTTTAATACCGTGAAATGGACCTTCATAAAACGTCATGTCTCTGCATTTACCAATGTGGCTCAAATCCACTGCTTAATTTTGGGAACCCCATATGGTCCCCCCTTATAACCTTGAAGAAATGTATGGTTTTCCGTACGCGGAAATTATACGGCCTGTAGTTTGGAAACCCTGCATGCAAGCATAACGGCAGGTCGAGTTTAAAATTATTCGGGAATTGGAAAAGTTTTTGGAAACCGAATTTTACCCTTTCTTTGAGTGTGAAATTGAAAGAAGACGTAATTTCCTATCGAATGAGCAAAGGAATGAATATTCAGAAGAAGAATGAATATTGTTATGCATGTTTTCCCTGAAATATTGTTAAATCTTTAAGGGCATCGAAAATCTATGAAAAAACGCATGCTACTTAAGTAGCCATTTTTTACGGAGCATGGTTTTTAGATGCAGCCGGAAATAAGTTTGTTCGAAAGCCGACGTCCGGGGTAACTGAATTATTATAGATTTATGCTGCAAGATGATTAGTTTTACAACCCTACTTAATTAATCTTTTCGGAACGAAACCGAATTTCGGAATTTCGGTTGACATTTCATGAGTTAGCCCACTTACTGTACTTTACATAACGTTAATTCTTAGAGGATATCAGCTCAATTTACTTTTATTAAAGAGAAGATGGGCTAACGCCTTTGAAATCCCTTTCGGTTACAAAAATATCGAAAGCAGTATTATTACATAAAAGCGTAGAAAAAGAGATAGTTGGCATTAATAAATACGACAAGAAGCTGGATGAAATGTGTGAAAATATAAATATAAATCGTACTCAATAGTTGCGAGTAATATAGTAACATGTAAACACAAAGTGGACTTATGGCAGGTGAGCGTTACGGAACAGTTGGGCGCTACATGCGTGTTGATTTTGTCCTTGCATGGATACACACATGAGGAGTGAATAAGCTCGGTGGGTAAGGCGTTCCACACTGCAACCACACGCTCTTACCGCAGAAATATTTGCAGATATCAGTCTGTGACTTTCCTGTGCGTAGTTTGGGGAGATGACTGCGCAAAAAGGGTGTGTTAGCCCAAATGAAAAACACTAGTCCATTCATAATGCGGAATATTTTTATGAGGTCCTCTCTTACCTGCCCCCAAGTAAGGGGAAAAGGTTAAGGGTCAAACGCCAAACCTCTGACCACTTTTTCGCTCACATCTAAGACAGTGGCAGTCCTTGGGGGTCCAGGGTCACCATGCATACTCCAGATACGGCTGTATGAATGTTCCAGATATTTTGGAGAAGCTTTTTTCTTAAAACACCGTAAAGGGCTGCCCGATGATTTGTGATGAAGACGTGGCCGAATTGGCCGCCTTCGTACAGTTTAGTGTTGGTTTGAGCGAAGATGGAATCCAGAGACCCAACTAGTTGCAGTGGGTTAGAGACTCCGCAGCCACCGATTTAAGGAAGGTTGTACCTGCTTACATTGAAGGGCATAAGCCAGCGCTTCGACCAATCCTCAAGCCCGTTCAATTTTTCCTGCAGGTGGTTTTTGTCTGCCGTACTGTGAACAACTTTCCACAATTTGATGTCGACAGCGAAGAGAGTGACATCGCAGTCTAGCTACCTGACGCAGTCAATGATGAAGACTAAGACTACTGTGGAACTTAAAACGGAGCCCTGTGGGACACTGCTCATCACGGTTATCTATAAGGACTGCTAATGTCCGATTTGTACTCTCTGGGACCGTCCAGTCAAGGGGTTCTGAATCCATACGAGCAGAATATGTACTGTAAATGCACCCATAGAACCGTTTTTAAAATATCACTACGCTCATGTCGTTTTATTTACTCAGCGCTTTGCAAAGAACGGCCTGAGGTATGGCTAAAAATAAAGTCAACTCATCTGTCGCGAATTTCCGCATTTCCGACTATTCCTATTATCTTAAGAAAATCATTAATTCTTAGCAGTAATATATTACTTTGGGTATTTATTTTGTTGGGGGTCGTTCATGATTACTTTTGTCTTTTGGCGTATGCACTTGTTCTACTTCATGTGTTAGATCACAATAGTGAGGCCTACGGAGTAAGATATCCAAGAGATTTATTAAAAAACGGCGAAACCAGACGAGGCGAAATTTAGGGAATCGTCCGTTCCGAAAAAACGGCGTGGATTTTCCTCCCATTAAAAAAAGATAATGTTTGTGCAAAGAGCAAGTGAAGGCCCCGCAGGAAGAATGAGCCAACAGGCAACACTACTAGGCTTAGGTTTCTGAATTCCCCATTGATGTGTTTGACGGCTTCTCACGACTCCTGCCTTGCCTTTCAAGTTATCAGACTCCTTTATAGATCGGGGTCGAGTTCGCATTGCTGATGCCGGCGGCGGTGGTAGCGGGAGTAGTGATCAACAGGGCGTCGGGAGCGTTCTCATCGATGGCGAGAGTGGGAGAGGCGGTCACCACCACCACCACCACCACCACCACCACCACCACCACCACCACCACCACCACCACCACCATAATCATAGCCATCGCAGAAGTTATGACACGGATGATAGGGGTGGCGGCGATCGACGGCAGCGGAGCATCAGAAGTGTGATCACCGGTGGTGGGGACGGGTCGCCACCGTGGATATCGTAGAGGCTGGTGAAAAGGTGGCAATGTGGTGTCTGTGGAAACAGCAGTTGGCCTTGTTGGGTTGTTGTTACATTGAGTTCGCCGATATTCGACGAGGCCGATCCGCGCTCTGAATATATGTTAGTAACGTGGACACTTTGGGAAGGGTTAGGTGTTGCGGTTGGGGGTTGGAGACGTTTGACACATGTGAGCCACTCTTTTAGCTTCTTCGGCGACGACCAACCTGGCTTTGTAGATAGCTGATCCAGTTTTTACTGTTCTTCTCCAAGCCGATCGGTCCTGGATGACATCTTCTCAGGTCGCCCGGTTGATTTGCTAGCAGTTCAGAGTGTTCTTCAGGGTGTCATGTAACGTCGTTTTTGGTTGTCTTGTCGGCGAGCATTCGTAGAGACATTACGGCAGAAGAGTCGTTTTGGTGGTCATACGTCTTCTGTCTTCACGGGTTGGCCGCTTCAACGCAGCTGCAACTGTCTCAACACGACAGGGGTGCTGATGATTTAGGTTCGTCCCAGGACTTCTGTGTCGGGGGTCCTCTCTGTCCCCCCAGTTTTAGTACTCTCCGGTGACAAGGGAGGTGGGAGTGATAGAGTTTCATGGCTCTAGTGGTGTAGATGGTCCTTGTCCGCGTCCCATATAGTTGCGTTTTCAGGGCTACCGTCCTGTACATATTAAGCTTTGTGTGGAGCCAAAAACCTTGAGGGTTCCAGGCGGTGACCTACGGCCAGCCGAAAGTTTGTTTGCTTCTAGAGATCCGATGGGCACTTCGTCGCCAACTTTAATGCTGCTTAAATAGGCGAAACTATTCGTAGTTTTGATTTTGATGCCACTGACAGAGACGGCTGATGCATGATCATCATTTTTCCTGTGTTGATGGTCAGCCCAGAGTTGGCGCAGCCATCGACGAAAAGATTCCCGCTCTGTCGTAGCGTTGAACGTGCAGTCATTCGCGAGGAGAAAGTCGTGGACAGTAGCCGTAGTGAGACGCGCTACGGGCCACATGCATCTTCGCGACACCGGCCCTTTGCGTACATCGAAGGAACATAATTACTATCAATTTGGCAATAGTATGTATATCTGTAACATAAAATTTGCGTATACAGTTTGCAACCCAGCAAGCGGGTGCTAATTGTGCCCCCAACCGGGCAACGCGTTAGATGCGCTGGATCATCACGGGGGTCATATCGGATCTTGACAGGCGTTGTCGGATTTGCACACCATAGCAAAAGCCAGGATTTCGGGTTGTGGGGACAGACGCGGTTGCCGGCAGCCGTCGCACACAGAGGGATCCCTGCCGTCCCCCATTGTTGTTATTGTTGATCAAAAACCTGGTTATTTGTTTTGTGGACGGGAGGGGGGCGTGGAGTGGAGCGCCAAGCTGCGGTCTCGACCGTGACATCCACCTGCGCCCTACCCCACCTCCGGTCCTCCTGACTCTGTCTTGACACTGGGTCAAGGTGGGGGAGGAGGAGAGAGTGCGGTAGTTGCAGCGCAAGCCTACCATCACTCTAAACTAATTCATACGCAAGTCACCGTCCCTGCCTCACTTATCTGTGAAGCACACGGTGGACATCATTGGCAAAGACGGTCGAACTGTCGGATGCTATTCACGGCAGATTGCATATTTTGTTTGTTTTATTAGCGAGTTAACACGAACCTTTAGTGCCTTGGCTGTTACCTGTCTTTCACTGTTACATCGACTAACAGAAGCCTCGGCACTTCATCCATTGACACCCATGACCGTGTAGCAGCCGCTCCAGTCCCCCTTTCTTTTGGCTCCGTTTTGTCGAACGATGACCGCGACAGCTGTTGACACACGGCCACCCCGCCAGCTAGAACTGGGACACCTCCGGTCCAACTGCAGTGACTGCCGGCTGACCTCACAAACTTTCATCACCTCACGCGCGTCGAACGCTCTGGCTTGATACCCGTGAGGCCTTGTGAGTAGGCGTCCCCTATTCCTCCCCTAATTTGTCCAATCACACGACCAACACTCAGTCAGTCACCCCCTCCTGCTGACACAAACCTTCACTCCCTCGTAAACACCACACTGCGACGGAATATGGGCCATCGTTCAACAAAACGGAGCCGGAGAAAACAGAGGGAGACTGGAGTGGCTGCTACAACCGCCACCAGAACCCCGAGGGACTGTGATGCCCTGCCCCGCGTATCAACTCTTAACGAAGGAAGCTCGCATGGCGTCGACCTCTGTCTCCCCCAAACCCTATCGTTTTTCAATGGCAGTACGACTGGGAATGGAATGCGTACGCGGTGGCCACACGCGAGTTGGTGTGTAGACGTCACCTCAGCTTCCCTCACTGCCTGAACGTCTCCCAAATTATCTGGTGGTCGTTTTCACTGCACAAGATGACGAATAATCTCCTGAGGAGATGCCCATCAGAAGCAGTGCGTAGACGGAATTTGTTGGGCCTGTCGCGTTCGCGGGTAGTAAAAAAGGCGATGAAAAATTTCGGCGATCCCATGAGTAGAACTCAAACTCTGACATACATACGACTTTGCCAGCCACTTTGATTCTGGATTAAAAACGTTTCACAGGTTATTTTGATGGTGCTGGTAGAAATTGCCCTTTTGATCACCAATACTGCAACTGTAAACTTCTGTGGGAAAATACAGCGAGTCTCGCTCCTATTAAAATACTGGCAACGGATAGACTGAAGTCAGCAAAACATTGTGGCGCTGTTACTTTGTTACATTTCTTATTCTGTAATTTTGATCTTACTCGATTTTATTTAAGTCGGTGTTCATTGACCTCAACGTCACACTGCGTTTTGAGTGCACTAAAGCACGTGTTACTAGTTAGTAGAGGAATCTTTTCCGCCTCTGGTGAGATCTTCAAGTTTGTCCCAATACTACTCGTAATTTTTTGTATGGGATCGGATAACCAATCAGTATAACTCACTAAAAGGATAGCCGAGAGCCTTAGAATATGCTGTACTCAGGCCATTCGGGTGAATGAAGTGCATTCTCCCTCTCTCAAAGGTGCACCTGAAGTGCCATATTCAGAGTTCCACGCGGTCATGGAAGCTCCGTCGAACGCAAGATTTTCTTCAAAGTTCCTGGCACATATTACTTGCACTACCATCCACACACGTTCAAGGTGATAAAAGGTCATTGACAGATAAAGAGGTTGAGTCTTCAGAACCATCAAATAACCCATCATTAGAGGCAATGGAAGAGTAATATTATCTTAGCCGACTTTTGATTGGTCGAAAACAGCGCGTCTGTATTGGAGAAAACGTGACTAGTGATGTGCCTCAGGGCTCCGATCTCAGACCCTTACTTTTCATCCTTTTTAATAATGACAACCTTCAGGAAGTTTACTGCAGTAAGAAAATTTCTGTAAACGACGTTATGCTCTGGCAAGTCATTAAGGACCTGAATGACAAAAGAGCCCTTCAAAATACTCCGCATCGACTGCAAACGTGATCCGCAAAATGTGCAGAAGTTCAGATGACGGACTGAGGGCATATCAACTGAAAGACCTTACTCTTCCAGCAAGATCTTCACAGAAGGGTGTTGGTGTATGGATACAAAGCAATATGAAACCGCCGCTGCAGTGCATCAACGCTGCAAAAAACGCCATAGGAGTGCAGCATGCAATCAAAAGGACGTTTGTAACCTTTGAAAGAGAGTTTACGACACATTTTTTTCGGCCTCATCTGGAATGTGAGGAACAAGCACGGCGGCCATGGCTGGCGAAGGACAAAACATATCCCGAAAATGTACAGCGCTGTGGTAAAGGTTTAAAATAACGACCCTACATATAAAGACTGAACTGTCTTAATCAATCCCTTCGGTGTTACAGACAGCAAAGAGGCGATCATTTCCTGGTTTACATGATAATACCGACATTGAGCATGGACTAAGCCCTTAGGACATGTTTAATTGGCATGTTTCGTCCAATCTTCGTGGACACTATGAAGTAAGGCACAAAAATGTCCAGATCGAACCTTCGTTGTGAATTTTCCAGGCAAAGGGCAGTAGCGAAATGGAATGATCTCCCCACTCAGTCTCGGAGGCAACATTCCTAAAGCTCTTCTAGAAACACTTGGAGGAATACTTGTGTACCCTGTTTTCTTTCGACAGTCTGAACCTGAGCTAAATACCTTGTGAACCCCATAAAGTTTGTTTACTAAATAAATAAATGTTACTTACATTATGCAAGTAATATTTCTGTAGTGGTAAATTTCATTGTTGTGTGTTCAGCTGGATCTAGCTAACTGGAGTGGAAACAACAGGGTATTCAAAGGCATAACCTATTATCCTTACCAAATAAGCCGAAAACCGGCAGTGACAGGGGAGGCTAAAACAAGCACTGTAGGCGCATTTACCGTCAACCGGCCACCAAGGTTTGCAGCGGGCTATCACTGGAGACTGTTTCACTGTCTGCCGTCCGTCGAAGCGCTGGATGGGTTGAAAGTCATGTCCGTCTTCCGCTTGTCAAATGGTGTGACCAATCCCGCCATCTCAGTGAACGCAACAGAAACATGCCCCGTTGTTAGATATCGTTGTGTCCTAAGCAAGCACAATCTCTTTCATTTGGTCATCGCCGAATGCGACGTCGAAATAACACGGGCGAGAAAAACTCGGTTTGGTGTGTAATTGTAAGTAGTGGCGATTATTCCATCTTTTTTACTCCTCAGCGTGGGCGATTATGTCTCCCGTGTGCCCCACAGGATGATGGCCGGCCCTGGTGAGAGTGCCATGGAGGCCGCATTAAGAAGAGGCCATTGCAACTTGACCCTCGGTCGTGAGAGAAAGACCGAGTTATCTCGTCAGTTGATAGACTTTCAAGCAACAAATGTTAGCGTCAGACTGTCCATAGGAAGGAATATGCTTTGAGTGCCGTGGGAGCGGAGTTTCCATAACTGACCCCACTTAGTCCACTGTTCGATCCGGTCAGCCACCTGATGCGGAGATGTGGCACAAATAGCTGGCGTGGACCTGCATCTAGACGTGCCGTCACGCCCCACACACATGACACCTGTTATAAATGAGAAGCCCGAATAACGGATGTCGCGCCTAACTCTGACCCCCATGTCAGTCCGGTATATCTGCCCCGTTGCCAGATGTAGGGGGTACGAATCGGATTACAGAAATATGTCACACAGAATTAGACGTATTTACACCACCTGGGTGGACTGGGACTGCTGGCCTTTCGAATGGCAATCGAGATCAACCGACTGTGGAGTCAGTTGTTGGTGTTATAACTACTTCCAAAGGAAAGCGAAAACATTATGAATGAGAAGGGATCGTTCCAAAAATCTTAAGGTGAGCAAAATGCAGTGCACTAAGCCGCTACTCATGACTGGAACAGAGTTAAACGCGCCCAGAAACATCTAAAGAGGCAAGCCATAAATAAGCAAATACAATATCCTAAAAAAAACGTTTCCGCTAATAAAATTGCTTTCAAGATGATCAACGCCTTCAAACAACGCTCTGAGAATCGTTGACTCGAATAATTTAATGCAGATGAACAGCCGTGTTTAGTAACCCCTCAAAATTTATGATTTCAAGCCCCGAAAGTTCTAACTAAATCGTAGGCGATTGTAAGTACACGGTGATTGTCTGCTGAAAAGGATCGTTCGCTTGCATACACCTAATCATTTTTGAAGTGAACTTTTTGCAGAATTTCAGCAGTTACCGGCTTAATAAGTATCGCAGTTGGCGTAGGAGATGTCATATTAGGGACACTATCTTGTGACTTCAAAAAGGGCATATATTTTATGTCGCGCGCACGCACTACGTGCTTTAATTTGGTAGTTTGTATTGTTGACATGTTTGAATGGTTTGAATAGAGTAACCTGAACTGAGCACAGTGCACAGACAGATATGCCCACGCGAGCCACAGGATTACTTTTGGTGTTTGACAGATTGCGCCTCATTACAACTCCTCTCCAGCATGCAATAACCAGCGTTCATAGCGAGGACTCAAATACGTGGGTGGATGAAGATCAAGCTCTATTACTTACTTGGCGAATGCGAGTACACAAAAGAACACGTTGCGTGGGAGTGAGTTTCCTGGTCTATTTCTACTGTATTGGGAAGTTGGTGGTTTCTTTATAGTTTCACGAAGAAGGGTTTCTAATTCTGCATTAAGTTAAGGGAAAGATTGTTAATTAACTTGCGGAGAATAACGGTCGGAAAAGCTTAATTCAAAGGCTGGATTCGACTTGCCCGACTAAGTAACGAAAACGTGGAGCTGAAATAACGTATCACTGTCCTAGGCAAGGTTCTCTTCTTCTTCGGCATGAACAGAACTCCCAACATTTGTCTATGGGGCAGTTGTCTGAAACGGTCATTCCACGGAAATATTTTTCCACCCACTCTAATCTTCTGGCCACTACTGAAAAAGCATCAAAGTAGAGGAATCTTCCGGAACGGAAACTTGATTTCATTTTGTTACGAATGCTGGCAAAGAGTCCTTCAGAGATCCCATTCGCATGTAAGCGTATATTAGGACAGGAAGAACATTTGCTTAGGTTGGCGTGATCTCTGCTCGCGAACACCTAGCCTCCCTCGGTTACTTATATGGTTCGCGTTCAAAGATTGGTGGGCTCTGTCGTGTTATGGCTCCGTTAGCTGCCAACTTAGCAAAATGAGGAAGAAAAATCTCTGAAGCGGTGCTTAAAGCCTCATATATAGGGAAATTGCCAGAAACGTCCAAAGAGGCTGATCATAAATAAGCAAGCACAGTACCCCAAAGAGGCCTTTTTGTTAATGTGTTTCAGCCTAAGATGGTTGACGCCTCCGAACAACGTCCTGTGCATCTTTGAGTTAAATAATTTACCGTTGGTAGACGATCATTTTTAGCAACCGCACAATGCGGCTGTACACCGACGCCTATCTCCCTTTCCGATAGTCCTATGGCACTTTGTATCGAGATCATTCTTCCATCCACTACACAGTCCATCTCCCTTCTCGCCAAAATTGATGTTTTCACGCCCCCGAAGTTGTGACCATACATCCCGTGTGATGTACGTGCTGCCGTTTATTGTGGCCAGACTGGAAAGCTCGCCCCTACACACCTTCACGAACACCAGTTGGCAA